AGTCTCTATGGATAGTATGTGTTTTATAGTCTGTGTAGATAGTATGTGTGTAGTATACATGGCATGTACACGAACCCATACATAAAGGTCTGCTGGCGTGCTTCTCAGTAAAAACAGAAGTCTCTGTAGATAGTAACTGTTTTATAGTCCGTGTACAGTGCTACTTTCTAGAATCAGATAGTATGTGACTTGGGAAAGAAAGTAGCATACATAACAGGTATGTAACACGTGCTTATTTACAACAAGCACAAACAACACACCACAAACAAATATCACTCTTAGGGATTGGGCGCAATACCGTGCTTGCGCAAGTGAGTGTCCATTGCACCACAAACACTATTGATGGCTCACAAAGGACTTGCACACACACACCTGCTGTGCACAAAGAATATATTCCAGACATACATAGCATACGGCTATTGTACTTCATCTACGGTGTACGTACATACAATACACGGGTACCATAGTCCCACTGCAACTACCGTTGATGGGTCTTACGCATAGTTTATTTCACCGCAATACATTCTCGCGCTCGCGCACAGTCCTCTGTAGTCACCAGAAGTGTTAAGCAGCCGGTCAGCCGTTGGCGGCTTGCCGTATGTGCGGTGTTGGGTTTATCTAGTCACACTGGGCATGGCACCATATGAGTGCATTCTACTGTGCACAAGGTGTTCTGTTCTGCCTTGCCAAATGACCTGTCAGACTGATCCACTACAGATATATATATATATATATATATATTTACACGTATATATCGGCCAGGAGTATGTTGGCTAGAGAGGGGCCCGAGACGCACTCCCACGTACCACCCAGCCTTCTTCTCATACTAATAATCTTACTAGTGCCGCACTCACTCACTCACTCACGCACTGCACCTCTAGGCTTGCTGGATGGCTTGTTCAAAGTCGGCCACAATGTCCTCGTAGTCTTCCACACCCACAGACACACGGATCATGCCAGGCGACACACCCGCCGCATCCTGCTCCTCGGCTGACAGCTGCTGGTGGGTGGTGGATGCTGCGTTGCGAGAGAATGAGGATGCGTAGGTTAGTTTTAGGGTTTAGTTGAGAGAGAATAAGGATGCGTTGGTTAGTTTCAGGGTTTGGTAGCGAGAGAATAAGGATGTATTGGTTCGTTTAGGGTTTAGTTAAGGATCCGTTGGTTAGTTTCAGGGTTTAGTTGCGAGAGAATAAGGGTGCTTTGGTTAGTGTAGTAGTGTGAAGTGTATGTACGTAGTGGTGTGAGTGAATGGCAAGATACGATACCCTACATCCGGATACAGAACATACACAGCTGTAAACGACAGTCCATAGTGGGTGTGGTTGTTGTGCCGAATCAGGTCTTCTCCGAGACAAAAAGATATATTACGAGACACCCATGTGAACAGCGACACCTCAAGACGAAGGGCAATGACAAACTGTGTATGGGATACAACAACATGCTTTTAACATACTATTTACGTTCTATAGCGCTGCATGTATCGCCAAGGGTATCTATATAAGTCACTATTCCTTTGCAAGTCTAAGTCACTATTCTCAGGTAAGCATATGCGCATCCGAACCCAGGAGGAGGCCCGTGCCCAACTCTCTGTACCTAACCGGTAGACACCCCACCCCACAGAACAACATAACCACAACACTCCCACAAACATACCAGGGTGGATCACAAGCGTCTTGGCGTCCCCCACATTGGCCAAGTGCGAAGCCAGCTTCACACCGTCAATAAACTTAGCGCCGCGCGTCTTTCCGTCACCCTTCAGCGCGAAGGACAGCACTGATCCGAACTTGCCCTCGCGGAAGTACGTCTTGGCCTGGTTGTGAGACTGGTGAGACTCGAGCGACGGATGACTCACCCACTCGACCTCTGGGTGGGACTCGAGGTGCGCAGCCAAGCGGTTGGCGTTGTCACAGTGTGCACGACCTCTGTGGGCGGGGAGGGTATGGAATGAGTCGGATGGTGTGTACATACTAGGTTGTGTGGGTTCAGGAATTCACCTGGTGTACTACGACGTTAAAGTAGTGTTGCACAAGGAAGTTGCTGGGAATGTTCAGATATATATATATATATGTTGGACCCATTCATAGAATCGTTGATGCACAAATTTGCTATCCTATGCAGAAGTATACACACACAGCACAACCACACACCTTAGACCAAGAGTTTCCAGACCCATGAGCAGTTGGAAACTGCCGAAGGGGTTCTGACATCCACCCATATCACGGAGTGCAATGACACGAGCGTGGAAGATAAAGGCCATGTTGCACTTAAAGGGGCCCTCAGGCCCAAACACCTCATTGAAGTTCAATCCATGGTATGCTGTGCAGATATATGAAGCGTTCGAGTGCAAGTTAGCATGCATACGCTGAGGAGTTGGGATGTAGATTCGAAGGGAAGATGATACGAAGGGAATATAATTGAAACAGGAAGGTACGCCGGTACATGCAACACACGAACACGTGACTCCCTCATGAACTTCAGCTCTTCGGCTGCAGACAACTTAGAACGACCAGAGTATACGAAGGATGAACATTAAATCGTGCAAGGGTAAACACTACAGAGCTGTACGTAAACACTATAGAGTTGCACGTAAACACTACACTCAATAATTATTAAATACACACCTGGGCATGGGTCGTTCAGCAGGGGGAATTTGGAGGTACCGTCCTTCTTCTTGACACTCCAGTCGAAGTTGTTCCCGTCGACAATAACTCCACCAATAGTTGTACCATGTCCTCCGATCCATTTGGTGCAAGATTCCACGACGATATTCGCCCCGAACTTCAAAGGCCGACAGACGTAGCCACACATGCCAAACGTGTTGTCAACCACGAGGGGTAGCTCCAGCTTCTTACACACACGCGCAATAGCCTCGAAATCGGCAACTGCGTACGACGGGTTGGCGATGGTCTCGATGTACACGGCTTTGGTATTGTCGTCGACAAGGCTCTCAATGTCTTCAGGCTTGGTGCAGTCGAAGAATTTGACCTTAACTCCCATCCCGGGGAATGTGTGGGCGAATTGCGAGTAGGTGCCTCCGTACAGGTTGCTGGGGGTGTGAAAGGGGTGCGCAAACACATGAGCACACGAAAGTGAACCTCAGCAGTGGGTCTGACCAACAGTGCCATGAGATAAAAGTAGCATCCACTACGTGATCTTATTTCATTCCGTTAGCACGTTGCTGGCGAGTATCAATAGTATTCGTTATTCCATTGTGAGGTTACAACTTATTTACGTACCTGCTGGCGAGGAAGTTGTCACCGGTCTGGCAGATAGTCAACATAGCGTGCATCTGAGCAGCCTGACCACTAGATACAACCAAGGCAGAGGGGTGGGCACCATCGAGATCACACTTTGATCCTTCTAGCTTTGCGATTCTGTGCGGTAGAGAGTGAAGATGAGTGAGTAAATTGCGGGGGAACATACTTTGTGTGAACCACAAATGTGACGGGAGTGATTATACTTACGTCCACAGCCCGACCAATGGCGGCGATTATACTTGCGTTCACTACCCGGCAAATCACAGGCGATAGAAAGCATGCGATCAGCGTCAAAGAACTATAGTGACTGATGTGATAGACATACCTGTATTCCAACATGTGGTTTGTGGGGTTCATAATTCGGGTGTAGATTGGCCCCAGTTCCTGAAGGGCAAAAAGCTTCGCTCCATGTTCAGCAGACTATGACCGAAGAAAACAGTGTGATATGCATTAGCGGAGAGAAAAAGACAGTACGATTTTGATTTACAACGAGAAGAGGGCCGAACGGTTGTAACGCACGTCATACTCAAGGGCGCTCATGGGTTGAACAGCTATAATTTGTCCTTTGGAATTGACTACGAAAAGTGTTGGAACAGTTGGTGACGCAGTACTGTTTCCAGCGTAGATGCCCTTACCTGCCACCTTCTCGACTTCACAGACCTCGCAGTTATCATTATCAATACTAATACTATTATTGCACATAAAAATCAAGCACACAAAAATCAGGCACACCCAAATTGAGCACACACCTTGAAAGCGAAGGATGATGAGAGGTAGATTGGGGGAGCGCGAGCTCTGTGATCGGAGTCTAAGGGTTGTCCGTGGTGAAGAGCAAGGGTGGCGAATCCATGGCCCTCTCGGTCTTCATCGTAGGTATCGTGAGTCATATTGTAGTAGTGTTGTAGTTTTACAGAAATCTCCAAACTAATAATTGAGAGCAGAGGTTGTGCGTTAGAAACGTGACTGCGGTACATATAAATATATTGTTAATGTTCAGTGTTCACATTTTGCAGAAGGGGGTCATTGGCTTCGACGGACAACGAGTCTTCTTCATTCGCCTGTTGTTTTGATTCAGATTTCCGATGACAATCACCCAATTTCCCCAGAGTTAATTTTAAAAATAGCAGGAGGGCGTCACATGAATGTCCGCCCACCGGCCCACCCCGGGCCTCTCCTCTTTGTTTGTTTGTTTATTTGTTTTGTGTGCATTTTTGACTTTTGCGTGTCCTTTGACTACTACCACTACTACTAGGCGGAATTCCTGCCTGATAACTGAGAAACCTGATTTGTGATTATTTACCTGACTCGTGCCTGTCCGACATGGTCTGAGTCAGAATATATTTTAGTTGTTGTTTATTATTTGGTTTGTATAGGTTTTTTAAAAAAAGCCAAAAAAAACAACAACAAAGAAATTGCTTAGTTTAAAAATAAATAAAGAATAACAATGAAATTATTTATAAATAGAAATCAATAAAAATAAAATTATCTATGTACATCTGCTGATCTACACCTACTACTGATTGCACAACCATAACAACAGCACTTCAATATAGTGTATTCATTGGCTTAAAAATCTCAGCCACTCCAGGCTATTCTGATATCAGTTTAAATCCTAAAAAAAAGCCTTGTATCCTAGGACCTAGGCCATACTAGCCTCTAGGGGCAGGTCCCAAACTCAGGACGTAGGGTGCAGGTCCAGGATCCAGGGTCTAGTTTTCACTTTTCACTTTCTGCCTCAGTATGGACTATGGGTCTATGGCGCCACACCTCACGGACAGTCACAGTCCACACTTTAAGGTTTAGAGTCTTAAGTCTTAACTCCCACAGTCCACGACTCTCAGAGTCTCAGTCCACTGTCCACAGTCCACACTCTACAGTTTGACTAGCCCCATGAAATTGTGTAAATTTAAACTACTTCTTGCCGGTCTGGCGTTTATTACTCTTCAAAAGTTTAGTTATTACAGCCAATGATATATCGTAAACATTGAGGAAAGACTTTCTATCAGTCAATCATATTTCTTATTTATTACATTTTGATATTCCTGTGTTTTATCTTTTGGCTTTTTTTTTTGGCGGGTTTTGCCCAATCGGTACTTGTTCCTCGAGCTTTTATTAAAAACAAATGTGGTTTCGATTTTATATATAAAAAAACAATGATGTCTTCATCGCGGCTTTTTAGTGGTCAGTGAGAGAACAGTATTCGTTTCCACAATCAAAATCTTTGCTGAAGGGCTCGAGAGTTGATCGAGAGTCGAAAGAGTGTCGGCTGATCATTGACCCCCAAAAATAATCCCCCCCCACCAGACCAGTGACGAGTCTGCTATCAGTCTACCACAAGCAGGTGTGACCGAGCACTGTGAGGAGACACTGAGGGCCGAGGCTGAGTCTCTGAGAGAGGAAACGCAGCGGCAATCAGTCAACAACTCATCACTGAACTCTGAAGTGAACAGGCACTTTTGAAGTTTTGCAACAGCACGGTACAATCTAAAATACTCTCTATCTCTCTCTTTTATGTAAATACTGACTTTGTGTCGTGTGTCGACTGTGTGCTTTTTGAGTTTTCTTTCGGTTCCCCTGGACCCCGCGCCCCCCCTTCCCCCCCTCTGTGTGTAGGCCTGTATGGCGAATGCTGTGTCATGTGTGTCACTGGCTGTGTCAGTGTGTCAGACTCGTGTTGCTGACTTGCTGTGTGTGGAAAACTACAAAAAACTGTGGGACCGTGGGGCGTGGTGGCGGCGTGGCCTGTGGTCTGTGGTGTTGGGTGCGGAGAGTGGATATTCTCAGAGGAATCTACTACTGAGGCCTGAGGAGGCTGAGGGCTGAGGGCTGAGGGGGATCATTTTTGCAATCTCGAATTACAGACGAAGAGAACTAGTTAAAAATATGTGAATATTTACGAACCGAGTGAATATTTACGAACCGAGCATTGATGAGGGGTGACTGTTCATACTTCATGATTTATGAACTTCATGATATTTATTTATGTGGTATATTTACTGGACTGATTTTTATTAATAAAAGCTTTAATTTTTGATTTTTGATTTCGACTTTTGATTTTTGATTTTGACTTTTGATTTTTGATTTTTAGTCAAAAATGGGGTTACGATACTTCAGGGATCGCATAGATACACATAAAAATAATCTAATACACAAAAATAATCTAATACTCTAACATAGTATATAAAGAAAAATGCCGGTCGAATCACAGACGATACCTGATGATCACATGAAAGCAGATCGTGTAGGTGTCCCTCCGGGGGTATCAGTAGCACATCTCCCTTCTTTTGAACTCGAGTGTGGACGTTCCTTAATCAATTGTCCGTTGGCTTATACAACATACGGCACACTTAATAGCGCAGGTGAAAATTGTGTACTTGTTGGTCATTCCCTAACATCAAATACAAATGTCGCAGAATGGTGGAGTTGTTTAATTGGCGCGGGTCCCAACAGGTTGCTCGATCTCGATAGATACTATGTAGTGTGTGTGAATTATTTAGGAAGTCCTTATGGCAGTGCAAGCCCTCTGACACTCGACCCGGCAAGCCAAAAGCACTGTAAGTGCACGGATGCCAATTGTACACGAACACGGGCGTATGGCAAACATTTTCCACGGGTTACTATGAGAGATAACGTAAATGCACAGAAAGAGCTGCTCACCAAGGTCTTGGGAGTGACGCATCTCGCTATGGCTGCGGGTGGTAGTATGGGAAGCATGCTCGCCTTAGAAATGGCTGCTAGTTATCCCGACTTTGTGAGCGAGTTATTACTCGTCGCTGGTTGCGCACAGCACCCTGACTGGGCAATTGGATTGGGAGACTCACAGAGATTTGCCATCTACAGTGACGCGACATGGCAGCATGGTGACTACATGAACCATTACAGAGGTAAACGGGGTGTATGTGCTAAGGATAGCACAACTGGCAGTGAAGTACCAGAGATACACGAATATCCCAGACCCGATAAAGGTCTATATGCCGCGCGTATGGCTGCAATGCTCACCTATCGTACACCTCAGTCAATCACAGCAAGGTTCGCCCGTCAAAAACACCAGAAACCGGAACTAGACGCAGTGCCGAACTCAAAGAGAATAGGTTTAGACTCGTCCGAGAATGAAAGTGAGAGTGATGAAGATTGCGATCTAGGTGCGAATGCCTATGTGCGAGATAATGATCTGTTTTCGGTTGAATCGTATCTGCGCTATCAAGGTGAGAAGTTTGTGAAGCGCTTCGACGGAGCGTGCTACGCCCATCTGACTATGACACTGGATTCGCACGATGTGGGTAGGCAACGGATCAGCCGACAGGACAGTGGTGTGGCGATGCATACAGAGTCGGCGAAACGCGAACGCTGTTGCAATATAATGAAAGACTTACCCCATCGGACCCTTGTGGTGGGTATCGACTCTGATAATCTATATCCAATAGAGCTGCAGCGCGAGATGGCGCTGTGCATGCCCAACTCTCTGCTGCACACGGTCAAGTCCCCACACGGCCACGACTCGTTTCTGATTGAGATCGAGGAGCTCAACAAGGTCACGTGCGAGTGGCGGGATGGCAAGTACTTTGGTGAACGCGTGACGGAGTGCAATAACAGCGACACCAGAGACTGGGCCCGGGCGATGGATGAGGTCCACAAGAACGGCTGGGCCAACGCAATGGACCAGACACCCAGCGCCAGGACAGTCGGTATATTCTTGTAGGACAGGACAGTCGGTACATTCTTGTAGGGACAGGACAGTCGGTACATTCTTGTAGGACAGGACAGTCGGTACATCCTTGTAGGACAGGACAGTTGGTACATTCTTGTAGGGATAGGACAGTCGGTACATTCTTTCAGGACAGGACAGTCGGTATATTCTTGTAGGACAGGACAGTCGGTACATTCTTGTAGGACAGGACAGTCGGTACATTCTTTTAGGGACAGGACAGTCGGTACATTCTTGTAGGACAGGACAGTCGGTGTATTCTTGTAGGGACAGGCCAGTTGGTATATTCATATAGGCATACCCTGGAGTGGGTGGATGTGTGATTGCTGGTGGTATTGTCCTAAAACCTCCGGTACAATTAGCAGGGTATGGCATATCTATAGCACTCGCGATTATACTTTCTTAAATATTGCCCCCGAATTGCCGGTGTAGCTCTGTAGAGTTACTATCAAATGGGGGGCCTATTAATGGGTCTGGCCAACAACCGGCATCTCATCGGCTGTATTTGAAGTGGTGGTACAGCTGCATCCCTGAAGCACATCAGGTGGGTTCGTAGAAATAATCGGTATTTGTAGTTGGTTTCGTACGTAACCAAATGAACAATGCGGTATTAAATCAATGTCGTTTTATACACGCCTCCCCAGCCAGGCTGGGAATGACTTGCCTTTATTACGTGTTGTTATAGCTTTTGGTTTGAGACAGAGTATCCTCGCTGCATGCGAGCTTCGTATGAAGTAGCCGTACTTGGTGTAACTTGGTGTACAGTGCAGTGTGGTGCTATGTGTTAAATGAGTAGAGTGTATACTTGTTCATATATGAGGTGCTTAGTGAATGTGGTCTCGCACACAAACGTAGACGTGTTGGACCCTGCGCCTTGGCATGCATGCTCACTCAATATATATTGCACATATAGTTGTAACATACATACTCATATATATATATATGTATATATATATATATTGCACATATTGTTGTAACATACATGCTCACACATTGCATATATATTGCACATATAGTTGTAACATACATGATCACACATTATATATATATTGCACATATAGTTGCAACATACATGCTCATATATATATATATATATATGTATATATATAATTGCACATATTATTGTAATATACACCTACACACATTGTATATATATTGCACATATAGTTGTAACATACATGATCACACATTATATATATATTGCACATACAGTTGCAACATACATGCTCATATATATATATATTTATACATATAGTTGTAACATACATGCTCACACACACATATATATATATATATTGCACATATAGTCGTAACATACATGCTCACACATTATATATGTATTGCAGATACAGTTGTAACATACATGCTCAAACATTATATATATTGCACATATAGTTGTAGCATACGTGCTCACACATTATATATATTACAGATATAGTTGTATCATACATGCTCACACTTTATATATATATTGCACATATAGTTGTAAATTACATGCTCAATCTATACATATTGCACATATAGATATGTTGTGTAGGCGGGTGGCAGGGCTTGTTTTGTCCACCTCTGACCAAACGCGTCAGTGATGCTTTTGCACTGTCGCAATGAGCGCGTGTCAAACATAGTACGCACCACATGACAACATGATACGTTTTGACACGTCTTGACATGCCGGAGCTAGCTGGCCATAAACGACACACGTGTGTTACTGCTGGCGTATTTAATGTGTGCACTAGTGGTCCTAGGGGGGATAGGCTGAGAAGAGTATAGGCGCAAACTAAACGCTTTGACGGGTCGAAGTGTACCGTCTGTATGAAACACATCTACTGTTTGTAATAGTACACATGTCCCTTCAGAAGGTTAGAGGCGTTGCCACTATTGAACGTCTATGTACAGGCGTCGTCATGACAACCGTGAAGATATCATCAAATCAAATTGGGACTTAATCGAATGTGTACTATGCGCGCTCAGTCTGCGACTGCTTTGCAAGTACAAACAACTAGGCGTCATCATGTTTACACCTGTCGTAAGAATTGATCGTCGATATCCGCGTGTATCTGTACCATGTCTTACTGCAGTGCAATATTCTGGACGTGTGCGTAAACCAGCTGACACTCACTATCACACATCAGGGAGCGGTCTGTCGTCTAGAAATCACATAGTATCGGGGTGAGATGTATTGGAATGCACAGTACAATATGGACATTGGGGGGCTTAGATATAGATACTTAGTCAGTTGTAGTCTATAGTGGTATGTAATTGACATTGGGGGGCTTAGATATAGATACGTAGTCAGTTGTAGCCTTAGTGGTATGTAATTGACATTGGGTGGGTTGGATATAGTTACGTAGTCAGTTGTAGTTTATAGTGGTATGTAATTGACACTGGGTGGGTTAGATATAGATACGTAGTCAGTTGTAGCCTATAGTGGTATGTAATTGACACTGGGTTGCTTAGATATAGATACGTTAGATATAGATACGTAGTTAGTTGTAGTCCATCCTTAGTCAGTTGTAGCCTATAGTGGTATGTGAAGTAAGCTGCTGAGGAGTGCCACTCGTCAAAGGGCGTGCATACAAGGTCCTGCAAAGAATATCAAATGCCGTTGCCTACAGTTACCTTGTTTAGATTACAGCATGTTTAATATTATGATTGTTGTCTTGAATCATCCGTGTTGAGATCATAGCGTAGACCTAGATTTGGGATTGCTTTTACCTATGTATACAGTTGCAGTACAGTCAGTTCGCCAACGTTTATTTGGCTACGGGCCCGTTGCTGTACACGGTATTGAATACGTTTACTTGTCATTTATTGCGCTATTGATAGGTGCCTCTCCTCACTGTAGAAATACTTCTTAACATATGTCACCTCTGGTCAAATAAAACGTTGATTTATATATAACTAGCTAGAGCAGACTAGAGTACCAATTCCACTATTCGGACTTATCGGGGTGCAATTGGCCCCATTTATGCGCACCTGGGAGCACACACTAGGGCTCTCCGCACACCTCAACCACGGAAGAGCAAAGCCTAGACTGCCCTACACTCATCACGTACTAACGTATATCGATTGCGTCGATCAAACGAAGGACATGCGAGTCTACCTACCAACACCACCATTGCAGTTGCAACAACGCGTTCACCTCACTGCCTTGTGAGTATATATCAGCGTACCCCTCACATAACGTCTGGCGGAATAGCGTTAAAACTTCATGAACGAACCTACCAACACCGTTCGATATGGCACTGGGCATTGATTCTCTCTCTCGTACAGACATTCACCCAAGTGTACACTCACAGCCACACGCCCCTACACCCCCCACCCATAAGCGTAATCTACACTCCTTGTCGATGATCGGTCTCCTGAAGCCAACCCTAAAACCCTAAAAGCTAACCCTAAAACCCTAGTCACACACATTACCCGCCCCTATACGTCCCACTGACCGGGGTGGCGTAGTAGTTGAAAGTGACATGACATGGTGTCTCCTCTCAGTTTTGCATTGAAGTTTTTGCAGTTGCAGTGTATGTGTTCATCGCAATTCGCCTGCGCGCTGCTGTGGGCTATAGCCTCAGCCGACAGTCACGTGCACACGTGAGATAGGGCTACTCTCCGGCGTGAATTCCTTAGACGCACACACGCACTGCGCTATGACCCACACGACGCCCATCATTCATGTATGTGCGTCTGTCAGTGTAGTATACTCACACGAATACAGGCCGTCGCTTATGCACACTGTGGCAGGGGAGATTTCGGTGTAGTTTGGTTGCACGCGTATGATCGCATTGCACGTGCATGTGCCTCTGTATGCTTCCATTACACCTGCGTGTGGCTCAAACCGTGGCTATCTCTTGCGCATGCGACCTCTTCTTTACCATATGGCTCCAATGCATTGGGTCGTGTGGTGATGCTGAGCTGCTTCGGCGCGTGAGAACTACGCGCACACACAGCACCCGCGGTGAAGGGGTTGGGCGTGGCCCTATATGCGTCTCCGCTGGCCCGGTCCTTTGTGTATCCGGACAGGACCGGTCCTTGTACCAAGGCAGCGTGAGATGCTACACACCTCTGCACCCAAAACCGACGGCAGTGGACATGCACCTGGGCCATACATTTGGGGCTGGCAGATGCAATGCTCATCCATCGGCGGCGTCTACGAAGCGTGTGAGGCACTGCTTGGTACTACGCCTACGCCTGTGCACTGTGTGTAAGAGTACATACAGCGCACTCTGGCACGCGTGCCGCAGTCAGTTACATTTAAGCACACGCGTGTGCCGCAGTCAGTACATATGAGCACACACGTGTGCCTCAGTCAGTTACATACAAATACAACTGGATCCACTCGGTGACTGCTACGGAGATGGAACACACACGCATGTCGAGAGGGCCTTTAGAGGTGTATTACACCCACACGTGTCCAAGGTGCTTTTAGAGGTGCATTACACCCACACCTGTCGAGTGTTGTAGAGGTGCATTACACCCACACCTGTCGAGTGTTGTAGAGATGCATTACACCCACATCTGTCGAGTGTTGTAGAGGTGTATTACACCCACACCTGTCCAAAGTGCTTTTAGAGGTGCATTATACCCACACCTGTCGAGTGTTGTAGAGGTGCATTACACCCACACCTGTCGAGTGTTGTAGAGGTGCATTACATCCACACCTGTCTAGTATTGTAGAGGTGCATTACACCCACACCTGTCGAGTGTTGTGGAGGTGTGTTGGGGGGTTCATCCGCTGGTGGAGTGCACCCGTTCCAGAATGCCCTGGCGAATGAAGTCCTCGATTTCGGTTGACCAGCGCACATTCTCCTGTTTGTTCATCGTGAGACGCAGCGGTCCATTTTCTGAGATTCAGGACAGGTTGCAGGTGTAAGCGCAGCTGAATTAGTAAAGATAGACGCAGCGGTCCATTTTCTGAGATTCAGGACAGGTTGCAGGTGTAAGCGCAGTTAAATTAGTAAAGATAGACGCAGTGGGCCATTTTCTGAGATTCAAGACAGGTTGCAGGTGTAAGCGGAGTTGAATCAGTAAAGATAGGGGCGTAAAGTTGTCGCGTAAAGTTGTCGACAGGACATCCCGTTTTACAGTCGACGAATCGTTGGGTTATATTCGTCGGGTTACATGCGTTCGGTTACATTGAGGTGAGATATTTGATCGTGCAAAGGTACAGGAATTGCTAGTTTAATGATTGTAGTACTGTATGAACAGTTTCGCGAGACGTTCACAGAGAGGCCACAGCATCGGCTTCAAACCCCAATACCCAAAACCCTAAAACTCTAAACCCTGAACCCTACGGGCGTGGGAAACCTACCTGTCATGATGGTGCCCACATTCTTCAGCGGTCTCACGTCTATAAACAGTGATCCCGGCGGTGTTTGGTTCTGAATGGTTGTGTGTTGCAGGTATGGAGTAAGATGTCATATACCCATGGAGTTGGTTGTATTTTGTAGGTATGGAGTAAGATGTCATATACCCATGGAGTTGGTAGTGTGTTGTAGGTATGGAGTGAGATGTCATATACCCATGGAGCTGGTTGTATTGTGTAGGTATGGAGTGAGATGTCATATACTCATCGAGCAACGCAGCTTCGCACCCATCCCATCCCATAATCTATGAATCAGCATAACTCCACTGGGTGTGACGAACAGTGAATATCAATACGTGTGAGAGGAGACACGGTGGCTGCCAGTTCACTGGGAGTGATGTTACGAGTTAACCAGCGGGAGGTTGATAACGCCAGATTTAGTGAGTGCTACATACTACACCCCAGGGGCGGCCCTGTGCAAACGATTTGGGACTCAACTGGGCACGCACCAGCACCGAGAGAGTGCAGGTGCAATGCTCCTAAAAATATGTAAATAGGACTGCCCACCTGGACAATGCACCTGGAGATATGGAAATAGGACTGCGAGTACAAGGGGGATACCTACCGCAGCGAGATCTAAATTAACATCAGTGGAGTAGTCGTTGAGTATCTCATCGTACGCCAGGAAGAAGTCTCGCTCGGGCGCACCCAAGTTGTTCTACGGAATGGCCGATGAAACAGATAGGCCTTAAACATGTGGTGTGAATCATCCAATGAAAAGTGCTCGTAACAAACGGAATTCAAAAGGGCCGGACAGAAGTATGTGAGGGTGAGTGGTGCATTCACCCAAGCGCACCGAGCCGTAATGAACGGAATGTATGCCTAGAGACTTATAACCATATCTATGATTCTAGTTGTCTTGAAACACAGCTATATTACAGAATTACGCGAGAGTGGTATGTATATTCACCCAAGTTCACCGAGCCGTAATAGACGGGATATATGGCTAGAGATTTTTAACCACATCTTTGATTCTAGTTGTCTTAAAACACAGCTATATTACAGAAGTATGCGAGAGTGGTATGTATATTGACCCAAGTTCACCGAGCCGTAATAGACAGGATGTATGGCTAGAGACTTATAACCCTATCTATGAATCTAGTTGTCTTAAAACACAGCTATATTACAGAAGTACGCGAGAGTGGTATGTATATTCACCCAAGTTCACCGAGCCGTAATAAACGGGATGTATGGCTGGAGACTTACAACCATATCTATGATTCTAGTTGTCTTAATACCAAAGACTTATAACCATATCTATGATTCTGATTGCCTTAAAAAACAGCTATACTACAGGAGTATGCGAGAGTGGTATGTATATTCACCCAAGCTCATCGAGGAATAGTAAACGGGATGTATGGCTAAATGCGTGGACACATATGTATACTTCTTGTGGTCATGAAGCACAGCTATATTTCTCGTTGTTCACCTCATTAGCACATTGTGCGTGTGTACATGTGTATTGTTGTTCACCTCATTAGCAAATTGTGTGTGTACATGTGTATTGTTGTTCACCCCTTCAGCACATTGTGTGTGTTTGCATGTGTATTGTTGTTCACCTCTTTAGCACATTGTGTGTGTGCATGTGTATTGTTGTTCACCTCTTCGGCACATTTGTGTGTGTGCCTGTGTATTGTTCTGTATCTCTTGCGTACATTGTGTGTGTGTGTATGTGTATTGTTGTGTATCTCTTGTGTACAATGTGTGTGTGTGCCTCTGTATTGTATGTATAAGTACGCATGCTGCAGCTGCATTTACAGTTCGCGCGAGTTCCGCCTCCTCTGCGCGCGAAGACAATCCGTAAAGTAGTACAGTTAAAAACGTTTACGATAGCATGCACGGAGACCGATGACTTGCGACTTATTTTAAGACGTTTACAAGCATTTAAAACGTATGCAAACGTTTACAAGCGTGGACTCAGACACCGCGTGGTGTCCATAGTCAAATTTGACGGACATGGACTCGTTACCCTTTCAGAAAAAAATACAGACATACAGGAGTGTACGGATATACGTATTCAGCATAATATATATATCTTACAGACATGCATGATTATACGAATATACGTAGTTGGCATAATATATATATATCTTACAGACATGCATGATTATAGGTATATACGCAGTTGGCATAATATATATATCTTACAGACATACAGGAGTGTACGGATATGCGTATTTAGCTTAATATATATATCTTACAGACAAGCATGATTATACGTATATAGCAGATTATACGTCTATAGCATCATTCTCAACCAATTGACCTACGAACCCGATAGCATGCGCTTACTCGTATGTCATTGGGCAGCACACTCCCAAACCGATACCGCGCACGTCTCAACCGCTTCAGCCTTTCCAGTCTGTCACGAAAATCGATTCAAAAAAATAAAATAAAATAAAAAACTATTAATAGCTGGGTGTTGGTGGACGTATGTATACTGAACAGCATATCTTCTTGGTTGGTGTATGAATATGCACACACCAGAGTGTGTTGGTAGCATGATAATGAATGTGACACACCAGAGTGTGTTGGTAGCATGTTGCTGGATGTGTGTAAGGGCACTAGCGTATGGGGTTATAAATCTGCAGTTGCATTTCAGGATACATACAAGCATCGCAGAACTAAGTAACGGAAATTTCCTCTCACACACACACAACACCAGAACGGAAACGGAGAAGAGAAGCCAATGATTTATTCGTTCACGTTATTGGTACAAGGACACATGTCCAGACAGCGTATGCTATTTGTGCATATAGAGAAACGTGATAGCCAAAAAGAATTCCTCGGCCAAGTGTTCAGCTCAGCAACTTACTGGTGTGTCTACGATGGTACCCTACATTGACAGCAATACGAATGTCTGTGCTGTGTGGGCTATAACACACTATTTGATGGCGTTACACGCACGTTACTTACTGGTAGGCTATGACGCAGCGACGATTCCTCATCATGCACACGTGGTGTGTCCGTACGGCGCACATGAACTCGGGCGGAGGGTTTTGTATATTCTGTAGACGGTAGGCAGCCCAGGAGTCAGGGTCAAACAGAAAGTGCATCAGACGGGCACAGAGACACGCACGGGTAACAGAGGAGCGAGGGGTTGGCATACACGGTAATTACTGTCGATCTGTTACTGATGTTGTAACTTAAATACGTACTACACCCGCATACAAATAACAAGGTTCATAAACACGTATTACACCCACATACAAATAACAAGGACATAAACGCATACTACACCCACATACAAATAACAAGGTCATAAACACATACTACACCCACATACAAATAACAAGGTCATAAACACATACTATACCCAAATACAAATAACAATGTCATAAACACATACTACACCCACATACAAATAATAAGGTCATAAACACATACTACATCCACGTACAAATAACAATGTCATAAACACATACTTCACCCACATACAAATAACAAGGTCATAAACACATACTACACCCACATACAAATAACAATGTCATAAACAGATACTTCACCCACATAAAAATATCAAGGTCAGAAATACGTACTACACCCACATACAAATAACAAGGTCATATATACTACACCCACATACAGCTTGAAATTCATCGGATTCGAGTAAGCGCTGGCGTTCTTTGAAGTGCGCCTCGATCTCAGTGACCACTCGACGAATCATATCGCCCTGTGGGAATGAACAGGCAGAACAAACGGGTAGGCAGGTATAAGGAACGGATTGGTCAGTAGGAATGGTGGACAAGCAGAATGAATGGGTAAACGGACGGATATAATAACGTATTGATCAGTATATGTCCGGTGGTAAAGCGACGTTGTGTGATTCTTCAAGCGCATAATAGACTCATATGATACATCATGGATATATACATTTAATCTTCACACAAAAAATATATCAGTTTAACTACACTTAAATGAGCACTGTTGTAGAAACATATGCATCCTCGATTGAAGAAGACCTCAATTTTCACATATTCAGGTTCTGATCATAAAATAATGTGCCCCAATCAACGATACGTCTATACTGACTAATACACACCACCATAATCAGAGGAATACACATGCAGGTATCAATGTAATTCAAGAATAACTTTGTCACAAAAAAAATACTGCTTGTATGTATAAACACGCAAACACACACAGAGTATATATATA